GTGTTGTTGTCCCCTCCCTCTTGTGTGTTGTTGTCCCCTCCCTCTTGTGTGTTGTTGTCCCCTCCCTCGTGTGTGTTGTTGTCCCCTCCCTCTTGTGTTGGTGTTGTCCCCTCCCTCTCTTGTGTTGTTGTCCATTCCCCTCCCTCTTGTGTGTTGTTGTCCCCTCCCTCTTGTGTGTTGTTGTCCCCCTCCCTCTTGTGTGTTGTTGTCCCCTCCCTCTTGTGTGTTGTTGTCCATTCCCCTCCCTCTTGTGTGTTGTTGTCCCCCTCCCTCTTGTGTGTGTGTGAGTGAGTGAGTGAGTGAGTGAGTGAGTGTGTGTGTGTGTGTGTGTGTGTGTGTGAGAGAGAGAGAGAGAGAGAGAGAGAGAGAGAGAGAGAGAGAGAGAGAGAGAGAGAGAGAGACATGCTTGACCACCTGACCACCCGTTCCCGTTCGTCTCCCCTTACGACAAGCATAGTCGCCGATAACGGCAAGCATGGGTTGCTGAAGACCTGCTTACATATAATGGTAAGGTTTATTTGTCAGTGGCAACAACTATAAACTTTCCATGTAGGGCAGCCACACTTTGGATGGCTCCTGGGTGGGACAGAATGAGTTTATTACAATTCCGTTCCCCCTTTTTAAGTTCGTGCATTCAACCGTGACAACATCATATACTGACTTAACCCACTCTAAAAGACATTGAACAGGTTAATACTAGGCACACTCACTAAATCATAAATATTTAACCTTTTTCGCTAATTTATGCACATTTGTTCCCACGAGTGGCCTCTAGGGCAAGACCAGGAATGAGTGAGTGAGTGAGTGAGTGAGTGAGTGAGTGAGTGAGTGAGTGAGTGAGTTGGGTTTAACGCCGCTTTTAACAGTATTCCAGTTATATCGCGGCGTGTCAGCTTAATGTGGGAGGAAAGTCCGAAGTGATGCAGGTCTCAGACGTTTACCACTTCGGTGAAACCCATAAGCACGGGTATGGTACTGACAAACCTAGAAACATAATCGGGGCGAACCGGGATTCGAACCCACAATCATAGGTTTCTGGCGTGCCCAAGGGACGCAACTCTGCACAGCGAAACCAGGAATGAGTACTGTTGGGGAGTTCTTAAACGTTGGAAACATCCGAAGACTTCGAGTCTTGGTTTTGTCACACTGGCTGTCCACCCTATATCCATCGTGTCAATCCAACAATTACATCAATCATGGTCAGAATTTTAGTATTTCTAGATTAAATGATTGAAGTAAATGGACTACACATATATAAAGCTAATTTGAATGAATAAATAAGTAAACTCTTACAGTTGTTTTAATTTATGTTTTACGTCTTCATAATTTGAAAAATACTTTGAGGGCTTAAATGAATTGTATGTTTTATATTTCAGTCCAAGATTTGTGTTGTATTTATTTCAACAAGTACGCCCAGATTTGTGTTGTAAACGTTTCAAAAAGTACACCCAGTTAAAAGAACACTGAAACCAGGAACAGTTCCATTCACATTTGCAAGGGCTGTGGCCACAACACCAAGGAAAGCCCTCTTGCACCTATAGGCCAAGAACATTATAGTGTTAGAATTTACCCACTATAATAATATGTGTAATAATACAGTTTTATCATAAAAATCAAGTTTGCACTTGTATTGGGGTTTAATTATAAAACATTTCTGTTAAATCAGAGGTTGGTTAAAGGTGTGTGTGTGTGTGTGTGTGTGTGTGTGTGTGTGTGTGTGTGTGTGTGTGTGTGTGTGTGTGTGTGTGTGTGTGTGTGTGTGTGTGTGTGTGTGTGTGTGTGTGTGTGTGACTCCCTGTATTTTGTGTGGCGTGAGGAGAACCTGGTTCCAGTAGTAGGTGAGATGGACTTGAGGCTGAGGGGAATGATCATACCGCGCAAAATGAGGGGCGTCAGACACAATTTGAAATCAGGGAGATGCAGGTCCATGTTGAACAACTTGAGAGACCATTCAATAACCATCTTGTTCATGGGAATTTTGGAGTATCAAGATTTAGTACTGACAAATGAATCATGCACTATTATAGTTCTTTTACCGATTGTGATACTTTCAAGTAATTTTTAAAATTTTGTTCAAACCAGTGCTACCAACATGTGTAGCATGAATTATGTTTGTTCTGACACTGTTTCTTGGGCTGGAAGACCCAGGACCATGCTGTTAACTGCGCTGGAATTAAAATTAAAATCACATCTGCCTTTGTCCTCAACTCTCATTACAAAACTAGCTGCACACTCACAAGCCTCATTGGTATAGCTCCTCATGATGCTGTGACATTTGTATCATGTTTGTCTACAGGTGGTGTGTCTGAAGTTGATATTACAAAGCTGTTGAATATCCTTCATCTTGTTCAACCTGGTGACAGTGTGATGGCAGACAAAGGCCTTACTAAAGTACTGTCGGGAATGCTAGAAAACTGCTTTTCTGGCTTCATTTAATAAATACGAGTCATGAGACTATAAAAAGAGCATATGTCAAAATTACGCAAATTGCCCTAATCTAGCCTGTCCTAACTTACACTGTGATTACGCTTAAAATGTACTTTTACAGGTAAAATGATGGTCACTGGAGAAAATATTCGCATGTTGTCATGCATGTATGAAATAGCCTATAACCTGAGGTAATTACCTAACACCTGTCCCGAGGTGATGACCTCACACCCTCTCGTGCATTCTCCCAGGTGCAAATGTCACCGAGTTGTAGTGTGAATTTGTCTCCTGTAAACTTGTCGATAGGACTCCTTGTGACTGAAATACTTCAAACCACAGGTGGGTCGATCGGTAGTTACTCGATATTTCAATAACAACAGTCTATGAAAAAATATATCCCTTTTTAACAGGCAAAAAGCAGTTTTCTAGCATTTCCGACAGTACTTTATTGCTACTATTTTGCACACAAGAGGTAGTCTCAATATTCCCCTTTCCTATTGAACTGTGGTCAGTTTTCAGCTAAATAAATATGAGAAACACAAGCCATAGCATCTTTGACAGTGCATGTAGCAGAATTTGCAAAACCATCAATCAGCTGTGGCCAGCTGCTTGTATCTGGTTTCCACTCATTAACATTGTGCTAAAAGTCCCTGTCAGATTTAGACACAGGTTACATCTCAGAGATATGTTTGAACTCATTTGAGCCGCAAATGTTTTATTACACAATGTCAATACATGTATTAATACTGATGTCCACAACACTGGTTCTGCCTGATGGCACACGAACAGTTTGTTGCAGAAACCCTTACTTCAGAATCTTTTGTCAGAAACATTTGAAAATACAATGAAGTTGTAAAGAAATAAATATGATATGTCAATTGTATGAATGCAATTTAAAGTGTTCTACTATTAACCACTTGAAAACAGTGTGCCAAGGCACTTTGATTTCATTAAAAAAAACCAACCTTTTATAAAATTCACATTAGCAGGATCAACTGTTGCCCAGAATTATTGTTGCAGTTTAATGCAACTTTCATACCCATTGACTTAAATTAATGTGACTAATTTAACATCCATACGAAATATTTCTTTCATAGTCCCAACCTCTATGTTATGTGGGGTTTCATTCTTCCCCGTAGGGGGCGGTCGGGTAGCCTAGTGGTTAAAGCGTTCGCTCGTCACGCCAAACACCCGGGTTCGATTCCCGACATGGGTACAATGTGTGAAGCCCATTTCTGGTGTCCCCCGCCGTGATATTGCTGGAATATTGCTAAAAGCGGCGTAAAGCCATACTCACTCACTCACTCACTCACTTCCCCATAGATCGAGTCCACACAAAAACCTTTCATGCGATGCTGGAAATATAATAATTTCCATATACACATATTTAACTATGAATAAAAACTGAATTGGTGTTTCATGAAAGATTTGCATGATATGATCCATAAACTATAACCCAAATAATCATATTTAACTATAGGCTACTGTAATATCCCCCCAAAACACTAAAAGTAAAGGAAATAAAACATAGGGCCTACACATATTTGAAAGACTGAATGTCAGTCGTTATGTCTGTCTTAGCCAAGTCATGTTAATCGAAATCATTTTGGGTGATGCCCAAACAGCATATGACATGAAAGGTGACCTTTCAAACTGGTCATTGTTATTGAGTGTAAAATCACAACATACCTATTTCAAGACTGTTGATGAACCCATGCTGTTATGCTGGAATCCCTTGTTCAACTGGGAACTCTCCGCGCTCTTAGAGTCACTTTGAACAAAATACTCGACGAAGGCGAACGAGACATACGAGACGAGCGATAAATCACTTCCGGGTCTTTCTTTGCCGCCATGCGGGTGAGACCTTGTTTGTTGCTTCCTTGTCTCTGCCTAGGTTCCGTCATGAGTGTCTTCAATCGTGGCCACCCGATTATGTCTCTAGGTTTGTCAGCACCATACCTGTGCTCGTGGGTTTCACCAAAGTGGTAACGTCAGACACCTGCAGCACTTCGGGCTTTCCTCCCACATTAAGCTGACATTCTGTGATATAGCTGGAATGCTGTTAAAAGCGGCGTTAAACTCCACTCACTCACTCATTCGTGGCCAGCTCGTGTCATTCCTGATCAAGCCGAATAGCAATTACGGAGTGAGGCGAGTGGTAGCAAAAAGCGTTTCTTTAAGAAGCGATAAAATCGGAGCAGGTGGCCAGGCTCGGTGACAACAAAAATAAATATCAGCAGAATGCGTGTCTGGCCAATTTTCCGTTACACTAAATACCAGTACTTTCGGGATGTACATGCAATTAGTTGTGCAGAGTTGCGTCCCTTTGTCGTGCCAGGATCCACTGGTCTTAGGTTCGAATCACAGATCCGCTTCCCTAATCAAGTTAGTTGGTTAACCCCAGACCCTCATGATATAACACACGCTATGTCAGTACTCTGTGCTGCTTTTAAGAGCAACACATTGACATTGCTCCATTCTACCAGCATCCATTACCAGCTGCTAATCACTAACACTTTCCCTTTATAATATTTGGACATAAATAAAACAAATAAAGGTGCAGAACATCAAAGTTTTTATGTTTTTATTGATATAGTTGTACAAGATTGCCTTTGGTCCACAGCAATTAAAATCAAATAGACAAATATCCCCTCCGTTAATCTGACTCGGTCCCCCTGCTTTCTCTTGGACTGTTGTACTGCGCATGCGTTGGTGCTGCCTTGAGAGGCGGAAGTGGATGTGGAATGTAGCTATACATATCCTCCACCTGACCGGAAGTAGACAGCGGAGGGTATTCGGGCTCAGTCGGCACCTGCAAGCTGTGTGTGACGGTGTTTAGGTACCTGGGCTCTGGGACGGGGACGGCAATGGTGTTGGGATGTCCCGTGACAGTTAGATCAGAAACATTTCCGAGAGTACCACGAGGTTCAACTGCCTCATCTACAACAAACACAGGTGATTCGTCCGTGACCTGTTCAACATGGTCAGAAACATCGTTGTTGTCATTGTTGTTGCCATTGTTGTTTTTGTTGTTGTTTGGGGTCGTTTTTGTTTCACCAAAGGGGTTGAAGTACCGGTGAGAGAAAGCCCGACCTATCATGCGAGAATTCCGTCTTTGCTGTCGTCTGCTTGTGGCCAGCTTGACTTCTGCTTGCGCCTTGGACTGCTGGCATATCACCACTATCATGACGACAGCGAGTACGACGACCGCAACAACAATAACGACTGCTATAGTTGTATTGTCATCCATTTTCTATCTGAAATGAGACACCACCTTTTCATACATGTACACCTCTACTGTCACATCGGTTAAAATTAAAAAAACGATTACAACTAATTCGTTCATAACATCTTAGCAATAACATCGATCTCTCCTGGTATTGAATAATTCATTCATACAATACTCATTCAGACAATGTATTCATTATAATAAGACTGTGAAAACACTGAACCCCTTTGAAAGTACCGGGGGCACGGGTGGCCCAGTCGCAGGCAAAAGGGTTGTGTCAAGCTACCTTCCAGGACGCTTGCAAGAAGATTATGATCGTGGGTTCGAATCACATAATCGCCCTGATTACGTTTCAGGGTTCGTCAGCACAACACCGAGGTTTCACCAATTAGGTGGTCTACGTGTAAGAACTGCATCACTTCGGGCGTTCCTCCCACATCTGGATGATACGCCGTGATATAACTTAAATACTGTTCAATCGGCGTTAGACCAGACTCATTCACTTACTTTGAAATGATCGCCTATCAGTGCATCGTGCTCGTTGAGGAACTACGGCCATTTCATATATACGTAGTCAATGACGAAGGAGGTCTTCAAGGCTTATACTGTGTGCACTGAGAGAACTCGGATCTGACGGATTATCAGTTAACAAGTTTGATACCCGGAAATCAATGAATTATTTACCCCAGTATTTTGTCAGTAGACCTCTTATGAAAGGTTTCTGATCCTAATACCAATTGATTATGCTAATCCCCTAGCTATTTTCATTATAGTAGCATGTGTTTGGCTGGAGAACAATCAATCAATCAAGTTTATTTCTTAATTCGGGCCACATGGCCCATAGTACAGTTGTTAAATAAATAACAATTTAGGTCACATGTCCAGAGTGTTACGTCTCTGGCGATCTCATTTTGAATAATTTACATAAATATAAAGCTGTCAAGCGTACTACACTAATATCTCATGATTTAAATAGATTTGCAAAAGTAATATTACCTTTATAATATTTCTGTAATGATGTAAAAAATGTATTTCTCAAGTGAATATATTTCTTACAGACAAAAAAGACACGGTTTTCATTCTCTACTAAATGAAGGTCACTTTCTTTACATATACAGTAAACTACGATTATAACGAACACGCTTATAACGAACTAACGGATATAACGAACTAACTTTTTAGTCCCGACTATATGCTGTAGTTATGCTGTATATATGCTTATAACAAATTACGGTTATAACGAACTAAAATTAGTAGTCCCTTTGAGTTCGTTATAACCGTAGTTTACTGTAGATTCAACAGTTCGTGTGTGAACAGATATTATGGTTTTGCTACAACATTTATAAAGGTAAGCTCATTGGACCATTCCGCCGTAATTTGAACATGATGTACAATTGGCCTGTATCACACTGTGTCACTGTGGTTAAGATAGTAGTTATTGTTTACCCTAACAAAACAATCACAACGGTTTGATCTAAACTACCGGGCAAAAGAAAGTATACACTTAAAATTGGATTTTACCAAAACACTGGATTTTACAAACGTTATAAAAATGTCACAAGGCTGAAGCCTGTCGCCGAAACACTGCAAACTTGAGATCCAAAACACAACTTTGATACCCGTATCAAATACATCACCATCGAATAACCTTTCCTTGTTTCATTTTTAACAACCATCAAACACGGGCGCATTCCTTATATTGCATGAATGAAAGTTGACTCTTAATGGAACAGGTATCTTCTTAGCACAGACCATCCAGTCTCATTGTCTTGTATTACTGGTATGCTATATACAGAGATAGAACAGACAAAAGAAACACTGACTGACAACACTGTGTACCTACCTACCCGTGGTGCAACCTTTACCCGACTGGGCAGTAGACTGACCTTGAGTGGTAGCGACCGTTCGACATCCAGCCACGTAATCCTTCGCTGTGGTCAACAGGGTTGATCCTGTTACTACTTAGTTCCTAAGCATTGTTCCTCTACAAAGAGGTATAATCTTTTTTTCCGCTCTGTGTAACTCGGAACTACCAACCTCAGGGCATTGAATCTGTACAGCTAACATGTTTTCTTACTTTCAAGGCGCGGTGGGGTAGCCTAGTGGTAAAAGCGTTCGCTGGTGACGCCGATGGCCCGGGTTTGAATCCCCACATGGTTACAATGTGTGAAGCCCTTATCTGAGTGTCCAACGCCGTGCTATTGATGGGATGTTGCTGGAATATCGCTGGAATATTGCTAAAGGCGGCGTAAAACCATACTCACACTCAACTGACTCACTCACTTGAGACTCACATGATGAAGCGTCAGGAAAACCCTTTCATGATTCGCGTTTTAATCAACATATGCAACTTCGTCATCATTAATGTGTCGGTTAGGCGGAGGTAAGTCGAAATGAAACAAGAAAAATAGTTCCCTAATGTTTCCGTATTGAAGAAAGAAAGTCCGTCCGTTAATGATATCTTCAACTCTGAATTTTGAAGATTACACACTACTACTACTACTACTACTACTACTACTACTACTACTACTGCTATTGCTACTACCACTGCTACTACTGCTACTACTTCTGCTACTGCTGCTGCTACTGCTGCTGCTAATGCCACTGCTAATGCTATTGCTGCTGACGCTACTTCTACCGCTTCTGCCACTGCTACTACTACTACTACTACTACTACTACTACATGGTTTCTGCTCCTCCTACTGCTACTTCTACTGCTTCTGCTGCTACTGCTGCTGCTGCTGCTGCTGCTACTACTGCTTCTGCTCCTCCTACTGCTACTTCTACTGCTTCTGCTGCTACTGCTGCTGCTGCTACTACTACTGCTACTTCTACTGCTACTTCTACTGCTGCTGCTACTACCACTGCTACTACTACTATTACTACTGCTGCTGCTGCTACTGCTACTGCTACTACTGCTTCTGCTCCTCCTACTGCTACTGCTACTTCTACTGCTTCTGCTACTGCTGCTACTAATACTGCTACTTCTACTGCTATTACTACCACTACTGCTACTACTGATAATACTACTGCAACTACTACTGCTGATACTCCTGCTACTGCTACTGCTACTAATACTGCTACTGCTAATACTACGGCTACTACTACTGCTACTACTACTGCTACTACTAGTACTACTGCTACTACTACTGCCACTACCACTACTACTATTGCTACCTCAACTACTGCTGAGCTCTCTGTGGAAAAGACAACTGAAGCTTCCTTTTAGACTCCGGAAAGTGGCACGTGGTATTTCATTAATTATAAGGTTGTTTAAAAAAGAAGAAATGTCGGCAAATCATTTCAAATCCAATCCATTCCTATATTTACTCTTCACGTTAGTTCCGTGTCACTGAAGGTCGGTTGAGGAGCGTCGACATCGTCTGCAGGCCGAAAACAACTTGGGTGACATGTAAGCAACACGTATTATTTAAAGCTTTCTAAACCGATTATTTTGTTAATGAAAGCTTTACGTGTCCGGCCTTTGCGTACAGACACTACACCATACACCCAACACACTAAGTACGTTTGACTAAATGAGTGAAGCGGCAGTAAAATAACTATGCAAGAGGGTGTTGGTTTCAACAAGAAGTGACGCGTGTAAGGGGAGACCACCGTAGCTTCGTGTGTGTGTGTGTGTGTGTGTGTGTGTGTGTGTGTGTGTGTGTGTGTGTGTGTGTGTGTGTGTGTTAGTGTGGCTTTGTGTTATAGAAAACAGTTTTATTTGAATCAGGTTGGGGGACAAGTGATACTTGTGCAAATATTTGCCCCCTCCCCCCCTCCTGTCAAAAAGTTAAGTACGGCCTTGGTATTATTTTTTAATAAAAGCCTAGCCAAGTCAAGTTCAAACTAAGGCGACATAATAACAACAAAGCAGGAAAGGTTCTATTGCAACCAAATGTGTCACAATTATTTTACAGAAATGTTTTCATATGCTAAGTGTAAGTCTAGCAATAGCCAATTTTCATTTGACAAAATATCATATGGTTTTCGCTCGTCAGTCAGGTAGCAAGTGTTGGATTCTCAACATGACTACAATATGTTGAATCCCCCATGGCGCCCGCCTACAATGACGACGTTGTATTCCATTTGGTACCTTATGCTTGTCATGTCTATTTCCTTAATTATATATTATACTGAGGCAAGGAAACTTGACTTTTACAGTCAGTCAACTGCCTTGTCTCGGGAAGATCGGCAAAAGAACGTATACACCCATGTTTAAAGGTGGCCAAAAATGGAACAAACAAGAAATGGTTATTCGATGGTGATGTATTTGATTGTTGTGTTTTGGGCGTTAAATGTGGAGTGACTCTGTTTTCAGCCTAGTAACGTTTTAATAACTATCGTAATGTTTTGGTCGAATCCAGTTTTCAAGTGTATACTGTCGTTTGCCCGGCAGTGCATAGGCTTGTTAATGATGCTAACAAATATATAAGTTGTGTTCAAACAGCGATTGGCAAGTTTCTTATTTTAATCTTTTAACGTTTGTTTTTAGAAAACAACCAATACATGAGAGTGTTTGGTGTGGGTACACTTCAGTAACCGCAGAAACGTTTCCACAGATTGATTATACAAGATATGTGTGGGAAAAACACTTTCCTCATGTGTTCGTTCAAGATGCTCCCCCTCTACATGTAAAACACGATTAGTGTGACAACATGAACATAGTCTATCAAAATATTATGATTTTGTTATGCCTACCTGTTTCCACAGACAATATAAACTACGTCTAAATTTAGCAATTACATATTTTAAGACAGTGGAATATCTGATGAAAGGTATCTTTCACCATCAATAATGATTTAATTGGTGCATTATTTTAACATTTTGAGACCCGTGAAGATCCGGGGTAGAATAGGTCTTCAGCAACCCATGCTTGCCGTAAAAGGCGACTATGGTTGTCGTGAAAGTTGACTAACGGGATCGGGTGGGCAGGCTCGCTGACTTGGTTGATGCATGTCATCATATCCCAATTGCGTGGATCGATGCTCATGATGTCAATCATTGGATTGTCTGTTCCAGACTCGATTATTTACATAGCGCCGTCATATAGCTGGAATATTCCTGAGTACGGCTTTAAACAACAAAATAACATTTTGAAGATATGAAATGTAACAATGCCACGGCTTGCTGAAGCAGTCATAAAATCACTATTTAATGGGAGAAATGAACACGTCCACATCACCAACGTCCTGAGTTATCCAAAACATGATGTTACAAGTGAGTGAGTGAGTATGGTTTTACGCCGCTTTTAGCAATATTCCAGCAATATCACGGCGTGGGACACCTAGAAATGGGCTTCACACATTGTACCCATGTGGGGAGTCGAATCCAAAACCTTCAGTGTGACGAGCGAACACTTCAACCACTAGGCTACCCCACCGTCCCTGATGTTACAGAAACAAAGTTAACTCTGACCATCTTAATTACACATCACCGGACACGGCTTGTTGAACACCCTTGTATTCTAGGTCCTTAAACTCCGAAGTCCCGTAACCCATTTGGTCAAAAGAAGATTAAAAAAAATACTTCCACAAAGTGAAAACATGTAGCGTGTTATATGCCCATTTCACCCGTTTTATCATGTATTGTTACGTATATGAAAACATGTATCGTGTTATATGCCCATTTCCCCCGTCTTATCATGTATTGTTACGTATATGAAAACATGTATCGTGTTATATGCCCATTTCCCCCGTCTTATCATGTATTGTTACGTATATGAAAACATGTATCGTGTTATATGCCCATTTCCCCCGTCTTATCATGTATTGTTACGTATATGAAAACATGTATCGTGTTATATGCCCATTTCCCCCGTTTTATCATGTATTGTTACGTATATGAAAACATGTATCGTGTTATATGCCCATTTCCCCCGTCTTATCATGTATTGTTACGTATATTCTTCAACAAAGTGAAAACATGTATCGTGTTATATGCCCATTTCACCCGTTTTATCATGTATTGTTACGTATATTCTTCAACAAAGTGAAAACATGTATCGTGTTATATGCCCATTTCACCCGTTTTATCATGTATTGTTACGTATATTCTTCAACAAAGTGAAAACATGTATCGTGTTATATGCCCATTTCACCCGTCTTATCATGTATTGTTACGTATATGAAAACATGTATCGTGTTATATGCCCATTTCCCCCGTTTTATCATGTATTGTTACGTATATTCTTCAACAAAGTGAAAACATGTATCGTGTTATATGCCCATTTCACCCGTTTTATCATGTATTGTTACGTATATTCTTCAACAAAGTGAAAACATGTATCGTGTTATATGCCCATTTCACCCGTTTTATCACATATTGTTACGTATATTCTTTAACAAAGTGAAAACATGTATCGTGTTATATGCCCATTTCCCCCGTTTTATCATGTATTGTTACGTATAGACAAATTATTCCATGGTCACATGCTAGGTTTTCACAGAAATTTGTATTGATTTAGTTTTTTAATGTCCTTTATCGACAGGTTGTGTATAGTTTTAATGTATATATTATTATTTTTTAACTTGTACTAATCACTCTATGACTGAAATACTGTCAGAGTGACTTTAAATGTTAACTCACAATGATATGTTATGGAAGGATTCGTTCACGATGGACTGTGAAATAGATGATACACATAATTCATGAAAGGCGCGCTTGCGTGCGTGCGTGTGCGTGTGTGTTTGTGCGCGCGTGTTAATGTGTGTACATTGGGAT